CCCTAAACCCTAAACCCTCAACACCGGAAAAAAATAAACCGTGGCCCTACACTGCAGAGACCCTGTGAAGCCTGCCAGGCCCAAGCGCGATCGTGCGCTAAACCCCGAAACCCTCCCGGAAGCTTAGGGTTTAGGGTTTAGGGTTTAAGAGGGCTTAGGGTTTAGGGTTCCGAAATCCCTGAATTAAGAGGGCTTAGGGTTTAGGGTTTAGGGCTCCGAAATCCCTGAATTAAGAGGGCTTAGGGTTTAGGGTTTAGGGTTCCGAAATCCCTGAATTAAGAGGGCTTAGGGCTTAGGGTTAAGGGTTCCGAAATCCCTGAATTAAGGAACACTACCTTGAAATATTGTAGTATTATAGTATGATGGAATTAAGGTCTACTCCTTAACTCAGGGATATTATCCTAAACTCTCTATCCACTCGAAATCCTAAGCCCTAAACCCGATAGATCCCTTCTAGATCCGTTCAAGGAGCCCTTAAGGAACCCTTTAAAGGGGTATAGAACCCTAAACCCTAAACCGTAAACCCCAAACCGTAAACCCCAAACCTTAAACCCTAAACCCTAAACCCTAAACCCCTAAACCCTGAACCCCTACACCCTAAACCCTATACCCCTAAACCCTGTATCTCCTCACCCCTAAACCTTAAACCCTAAACCCTACACCCCTAAACCCTAAGTTCCCTACGTCCCAGGGCTTTTGGGAAGGTCTGGGCTGAACCGAGGCTCTCAGTTGACGGCGTCGCGCGGCGGTTCCTCAAGGATGGCTTTCGGAACAGGCCCGGTTTCAGGGATTTAGGGTTTAGGGTTTTATGGTTTAGGGTTTAGGGGTTTAGGGGTTTAGGGTTTAGGGGGTGAGGAGATCTAGGGCTTAGGACATAGGGGTGAGGAGATGTAGGGTTTAGGGTGTTCTTGCCGTTCTTCTGGTTGGCTCTTAGGACTTTTAACTTGTTGCGTTTCTATCTGAACCATCACAAGTAGGCTAACTTCTAGGCGGGGTTCAGAAGTCAGCCAAGTCTTATGCAGCACCATTATGCGTGTAGGTCTTGCGCAAGAGAACGCGGCGGTTGGGGCTGTTGAAGACTTACCTCGACATCCTGAAGCCAAAAAATTTAGGCCTGCACCTGGAGTCTTTTCCTCGCCCTTTGCCTTCTTTGCCTTCTTGTGATGTCTGGCCTATCTAAGAGTCACTACCTGTGGCACCTTCCTCGCATGTGGAGCGTTGCGCTCGATGCCGCAGGCCAGAAAGCACAGACCCAGAACTTCGATAATGCCAGGGCTTAGGTATTAGATAGTAGATCTTCGAGTTTCATGTAGGGATTAAGGTTTAGGTGTTTATGTGGAGCGTGGGTTCATGTATAAGTTTCGGACATGAATCCTACGCCCGAAACGCTTCGCCCAGAATGACCTGCAGGCGTGGGTGGTATGGACTTCGCGGGGGCACCCAGAAAAAGACATGAAAGGACATAGCTGTTGACTGCGGACTGCAGGAAAAGTAAGTACACATTCAACGCCTACGTAAAGGTTGATAACGTGGTTGATGACATGCTTCATCATTGAAGCCTCAGGAGTAAACAGCCAAACATGATTGCACAACGATGATCGCACATGATATTGCCGGTGGCCGCAGCAACTCGTTCCGGTTCGTTTCTTCACGCTTCCCAAAATTGCATACTATGTACTCCGCCCTACGTTACCTCCGCCAAATACCCCTGGACCCCCCGAAACAGCAACAACGAGTTCTTTTAATCGTGTATCGTGAGCCTCCAAGGGCCCGAAATCAGAGTTTCAGTTTGGAGTCATAGGTTTGGGGCCCTGGCAGTTGGGGTTCAGAGTTTAGGGGTCCGATGTCTGCGGTCTGAGGCCCCCTCTTGAGGTCCCCTATCTTGCCCGGGGCAGCAGGATGTATACTATAAGGGCCTCTGCATCGAAAATCTCATTCCTGAGGGCTCCTTTTGATACTCAGACGATACCCTAAACACAAAACCCTCAACCCTAATAGTATAGGGCCCTTACAGTGAAGCCCAGTAAGGGTCCTGCTTTGGGGCCTGGTTTGCATATGCCCAAAGGCCTGTTCTTGGGATGTAGGCCCGTACATAGTACGCGGGTGGGTCTATGTGTGCGGGTTGCAGGTTTTGTGCGGCAGACTTCCTTTGACTTTGCTTCCGCTGTATAGGGTTTGGGGGTTTCAAGGTTTAGGGTCTAGGGGTTTAGGGTTTCGGGCTCGGTCCTGCCATGCCGATTCCAAACACCGTGTAGGGTTTTGGGTGTAGGCAGCTTAAGAAACTACTGAACCTTGAACCCTGACGCGTGCACCCCAATTACCACCAGAACCTAAGGCAGCATGTTTTCAATCTAAGCCCTAAACCCTGACGTGTCAACCCTAAACGGTACCCAGAAGGAGCTCAACACTTGAAAAAAGGGCCCTAAAACCCTAAACCCAAAGTCCAACATCACCCTAAAACCCTAAACCCTAAACCCTAAACCCTAAACCCTAAACCAAACCCCTAAACCCTAAACCCTAAACCCTAAAACCAAAGTCCAACATCCTAAGCTGGGATTTGATGTCAAGGCGATGGTCCAGGAGGGTGACAACACCCTGGCGGTTTGCTTGATGGACAACGTCTGAGGCTCAAAATTTAGGGTTTAGGGTTTAGGGTTTAGGGTTTGGGTTTTGGGGTTTAGGGTTTCGGGTTTAGGGTTTTGGGGGGGTCCTTTTTTGTTGCGGTGCCAAGCTATTTTGGTGACCCAAGAAGGGACCCTGCTTTAGAGACGTGCCAAGCGAGGGGGCATCGGGGGCTTCGGGCTTAGTATATATGCCTAATAACTACCAATATTACTGTTAGGGTTCCCTATTATAATAATACGATAAAGGAGCCCAAAACCTTATTCTAAGTATTAAGGCCCCTACGTTAGGGGTCTAGGGCGTAGGGTGCACAGGCTCAACATGTCTGCAATCGGTTTTGCCGGTGAAAGGCTTCAGCAGCAACCAAGAAGCTGCACGCCTCAAAATGGAGTGGGGAAGTGGGGCTTCTGACTATGTTGCAGAAAAGCCGCGCCAAAATCCTGTCTGTTTGTGTACGGCCTCAAAGTGGACATGGAATTCAATGAGTTTCGCACCCTAAGCCCTAAACTCTTAAACCGTTAAAGACCTTCTGGGCTTCATGTCGTGTTTCATGAATTCTGTGCTGCAGGGTTTCGGGTGCCCGTCGCAGCTTGAAGGACTCCGTGTAAACAGGCATGTCATGTGTGTGTGTATATGTATATATATATATACATATATATATATATATGTGTGTGTGTGTGTATACATATATATATATATATATATATGTATGCTGAGAGATCGTGTGTAAGAGACGTCTATAGCCAGATATGCCAGCTATGTAGGTAGGTAAGTCGGTCGGTAGGTAGCTAGCTAGGCAAGCAGGTAAGTGGCTCAGGCAGGTCCAGGTCACGTCCAGGTGGCTAGGTAGAACGGCAGGAGGCAGCAGGCAAGCGAGGTAGGTGGCTAACGAGCGAGGTATACGTGTAATGTGGGCATGTATATATGTATGTCTACATGGATGCATGCATGGATGCATGCAGCCATGTATTTGGGCAAGTATACCCTAAACCCTAAATCGCATGCAACGATTTGTTTTTGTGAGAATACACCCCTTACCCAGACCACGACCCCGAGACCGCTTTGTTTGCGGCCGCTGAGGTAGTCAAGTCGTTCAACCTGGGTTCGGCCCTCGAGGGTGCCTAGGAAGGTTTTGGTGTGGCAGATCTGGGGCATCTTGGGGCAGCGGAGATATGGGAGTTTCCGAAAATAAGGGGCCCTTATTTTGGGGTCCTTATAATAAGGAACTTACTATTTAGGGTACTATATTAGGGTCCCCTATTTTCGGAAACCCCCATATCGGCACGGTACGGCTTCGGCGGGTCAAAGGACTCTTGAGGGACTTGAGGGCTTGGACTTGGGGTTCCTGTGTCGTGGGGTCGAGCGCATGCCACGTAGGGACGAAGGGCTCCTGCTGGTGTAGCCTGACGTTCAACTTTGGAGAGCCAAAATATGTCTGCTTGTTTGGCATCGGTGGTAAGGGTTCTTCCTTGAACCCACTACCAGCGCTTCTGGTGTTGCCGCTGTTCTGCTAAATGGTAACCATCCGTGTCCAAGTTAGGCTAACATGGGCCGGGCAGTTGTCTGTGCCATGCTGACAGTGCCATTGAAGTTGTAGTGACTATTGTAGTGGTGCAGGGATGGTATTACCATATACGATCGCATACTATGACTATGATGTACTGTGGCATCGATGGTACAGGGAGGAAGAGGTGCCAGACCCGCAATAGCGGTGACAGCAGAAACAAAAACTGATCCGTTGCTTCCAGCTTTTGTGGTTTAGGGTTTAGGGTTGAAGGAGCTTAGTCTTATTTGTAGACTGGGTAACCTTTTCGGGACACTATGCTCGCTATTTATCCCCAGAGGTCTACCTTGAGTTGCCCTAGGATATTCGATAGGCGGACAAAGGAAGGAGCCCGCCGAGACCAGCAACTAGAAATAGCTGCTGCAAGCCCTGAGGCCCCAAAACCCCTAAACCCTAAAATCCCTAAACCCTAAAACCCCGAAGCTCCAAAACCCTTAAACCCTAAAACTCCTAGACCCTAAAGCCCCTGAACCCTAAAACCCCTAAACCCTGAAGCCCCAAGCCCGAAAGCCGAAAGAGTACTTCAATCCCAGAAGCCCGGAACCAAGAGCCTTCCTAGGCGAGGGCATCGAAGTACCCATGGACCGACGTGCCGTGGGGTTCTGGAAGGTTTTTTCAGAGTGAAGAGGGTTCTGTTAAAGCTTTAGGGCTCCAGGCTTGGGTTTGGGAAACCCTAAACCCTAGACCCTCAACCCCCCTAAACCCTAAACCCGAAACCCAAAAAGCCCCTAAGCCCTAAACCCTAAAGCCCTTGGGTCCCTGTAAGAATGACAAGGCTGCCTTTGAGGTATAGGCCGGGTTGGGGGTGTCAGGGGCTCGCGGGCTTCTAGGGCTGAGGGTCTAGAGTGTTTGGTTCGGAGCTGGTGCAGGGTTCAAGTTCAAGGTTTAGGGTTTTTTAGGGTTTTAGGGTTTAGGGTTTAGGGTTTTATGGTTTAGGGTTTCAGGGTTTAGGGTCTTAGGGTTTAGGGTTTTAGGGTTTAGGGGTTTAGGGTTTGGGGATATATCATACCATAATTATAATTAGGAACTCCCAAATAAAGTAGGTACTTCTTAAGGCCCCTGTTTTAGATCGGGACTGGTGCAGGGTTCAAGGCTTAGGGTTTTGCGGTTTGGACACTCAGTGGCTCTCTTGAGGCTTCGGTCGGAAGCGAAGCTGGGGCTCTCCTTTGAAAGCATTGGTTCCAGAAGAGGTATGATGAGGGTTCCTATTTCAAATCATGGGGTTCTATTAGAGGTATGATGAGGGTTCCTACAAGGGGTACCATAGCGGAGTTCTATTTACTGTTCCATCTTAGGTTATGGGCCAGGGGGTTGGCAAGGCTTCGAAGACGGGGTTTCGGTAGGTTGAAAAGCATGGTGTTTGGTGTCGAAACACCGCGCTACATGCAGCCTCGAGACACGCGGCATTTCTGCAGTAGGGCTTAAAGACGGCTCATGACCTAAAACTACGGTGGAAGAAAGCTGAGAGGCCGAAAGACAGGCCGTGAAAAAAACCTCTAATTCACAGCGAAGGGAGCCCTCATTTATAGAACATCGCAAATGGCGGTCGACTTTGTTAATTCTGGACTGAGGGTAGAGGGATATTTATAGGATGCTGGGCTTTTGGGGCCCCCGGCTTGTGATTTTGGAATGAGAATTTGGGACCTGCGCCTTAAGGCCTCGCATTGAGGCAGGGACTGTGTGACCGGATTGCTGCGCAAGGACGACAAAAGGAAAACAGTCCGGAGCGTCCCAGAATGGGAGTACGATGCCTCGGTCCGAGCCCAAGTGCGCATGATTCTCCCTTGCAGCTCTCTTCATCCGATCGAGCCTCCAGCAAGATCATTTTCGGGCATGTGTACTTACGGGCTGTAGGTAACGTGTAACGTTTTGAGGCTTATATAATGCTACTCTTTTTCGCTAGGTCAACCTTTTTTGGGCTGGGGCTGGGGTACTCAGCCCGTAAGTGCAAGACGACAGCACACCTGAGCTTTGATCCGGGATTCCTGGAAGCTGAGGCCATCGAGCACGACTACGTCACTGCCAGTGCTGCGCACAGTTCTGGAGTTCTGGGTTTACCGCTTCAGGTTTAAGGTTACATCATTGCGGCACGTTTTACTATCATGCAGGAGCACCACCATACTGATGACAGCCAAAACTGTAATACTAGATCCAAGCGTGTTTCTTCGTACTCTCACGCACCACAAACCCCAGACCCCCATACGTTCGCAAGTTTGACTTCTATCAGTCTGATTCTAAGATCTGCTGTTGCATCCTTGCCCTAAACCCTACACCCTCAACCTGTGAGGCAATAAGAGTTGATGCTGAGGGCGCAAGCAAATCTTGTAAGATTCGGGCCTCACGCGTCTTGGAAATTGGGATGTTGGGGTTTAGGATTGAGGGTTTAGGGTTCAGGGTTTAGGGTTCAGGGTGATGGCCTTCAGCTTGGAAAAGCCTGGAGGTGCAAGGTCAGGCTTTGCAGTTGAGAGGCTTCGCAACACGAAAGACACCAGCAGACATGGACAAATTCAACTTGCCGCTGTTTACATCTGACTACATCGAATGTCCCACTCCGACGCGTAGATCTTGACCGATCCTGCGAAATTTTGCGTCAGAATGACTATTCTGTAGTCGGAGGCCTCTCAGGCTCAGTAGACGCAGTTATGTGTATGTATATACACCTATGTATGCAGACAGAGATTCTCGATCATTCTTACGGCTGCTTTCCATTTCGTCACCCGGAACCGGGGTCAACTTTGTAACCAATCAAGGAGCAACCCAACTAGGCTCCTGGTAGTACCCTTTTGCCCTTGTTCCTTGAGGGTTCCCTTGTCAAAACCAAACAGTGGGAAAAGGGGCACCGGTATTGTTAAAGGGCTACTGGGAACCTTAAACCCTAACCATTGCAAACCCTAATCCCTAAACCCTAAAACCCTTAAGCCCTTAAACCCTTAAACCCTTAAACCCTCAACCTTTAACCCTAAACCCTAAACCCTAAACCCTCAACCCTAAACCCGAATCCGCTTTGCGAAGCTGCTTCAAGGCGTGCTCTCCGCCATCGATCGCTATGTTTTCGCCAGGGGCTCATCTGTGTGAAAAATGGGGTTTAGGGTTTAGGGTTTAGGTTTAGGATTTAGGGTTTAGTGAAAGTTTTCAGACAGCAGATCTGCACCAACAGCCCCCGAAGCCTGAACCCCGGAATACCCCAAGCTGCAAAATCCTGAGGCCTTAACCCCAAGCCCTGTGTTCAAGCGGAATCTTGGAATTACCATTACTCTTACGATTACTATTACCGTTACCATTACTATGACTATTACTGTTATCATTACTGTTACTATTACTGTTTGCTAGTTACTTTACTATTGATCTTATTATTACTGTTACCCTAACCCCTAAACCCTAGACTCTAGGGTTTAGGGGTTAGGGTAACAGTAATAATAATATCTATAGTAAAGTAACTGGCAATGGTACCTAGACCCTGAACCCTGTAGCTCCACCAGGAGACTACTTACCGAGGGCCTCTCACTTTCCCCGAGCCAACAAGGTCCTGAAAGCTTGGACCTTAAACGGTTTAGGG